GCAAACACAGCAGCTTTTGAAGTATTTGAAGAGCCATTGAGTTTAAGAGTCTTCATGCCTTCACTGTTCCTTAATCCTATTAGTACAGGCCTCCTTCAGAGCAGGGCTCTTCCTTGGTTCAAATTTTAAGGACAGAGATTATAGAATAATACTTAAAACTTCTTATCTACTTCAACCTGTTGATAGATATATCAAATACTTAGGAGGCACTTGAATTTAAAAGAAGGAGTCATAATATTTTCTAAAGCTATCCAAATTGACAGGGACCTATTTGATAGCCTTAAAAAAAATCTGAAGGAATTTGTTATTCTCTCCCTACCGTATTTTTTCCAGTTGAGCAAGGTAACTTTTTTGGTCCAGTGTTTTGTAATTGCTAATAAAAAGATCAAACCGAGCCAGGCTCGGTGGCTCAGCCTGTAATCCCGCACCTTTGGGAGGCTGAGGTGAGTGGATTGCCTGAGCCCGCGGGTTCGAGACCCGCCTGGGCAGCGAGACCTCATCTCTACAATAAATCAAAAAATCAGCCGGGCATGGTAGCGCGCGCCTGTAATTCCGGCTACTCAGAAGGCGGAGGTGGAAGGATCGCCGGAGCCCAGCAGGTGAGGCTGCGGTGGCCGGGAGCAGCCACTGCACTCCAGTCTGGGCAACCAAGTGAGACTCCAACTCAAAAAAAAAAAAAAAAAGATCAAACAGACAGAATGAATAGGACGTGGATTAGAACGGACATAGGAAACCTCAGACATTCGCACTCCAAGGCAATTGGTAAGAATGCTCATCTTTTAAATAGAATTGTGTTAATTATTTAGATGGACAGCACTTTATCTGAGTTTTCTATTCTTATTCTTCTCCTGTCATGTTCATTCTGGCCTCTTTATGCTTGGGATCTGAATCTTAGAATTAAACGAGAAACAGCCTGTGAAAGCCCTGCCTGATTCTTGGTGCAGAGTCGGGGCCCACATGTAGGGTGGGGTCCTCGGGTCTTCGTTTGGCCTGTGTGACATCACAGCTCTGCCCCTTCACTAGCTATCTGTCTCTGGGCACAGGTGCCCTCCCCTTCTCCTTCTGTTTCCTGAAATTAAGCCTCCGTTTCCTCCCTTTTGAATAGCCGTGTGTCCATCTAAAATCTCACTCTGTGCTCGCCGTTCCCACCAGCAGAGGTTAGGTAGCCTTGATATCCTTGAGCTGTTGTTTAGACTCCTGGTTGGTTTTCTGACTTCGTCTTTCCCGTGTCGTCTTTATTCTGCCGTGATCTCCTGGTTATTTTTTTTTTTTTGTTTGAGTTGGAGTCTCACTCTGTCACCCAGACTGGAGTGCAGTGGCCGCTCCCGGCCACCGCAGCCTCGACCTGCTGGGCTCCGGCGATCCTTCCGCCTCCGCCTTCCAAGTAGCCGGAATTACAGGCGCGTGCTACCATGCCCGGCTGATTTTTTGATTTATTGTAGAGATGAGGTCTCGCTGCCCAGGCGGGTCTCGAACCCGCGGGCTCAGGCAATCCGCTCACCTCAGCCTCCCAAAGGCGCGGGATTACAGGCTGAGCCACCGAGCCCGGCTTATTTTTATTTTCGTTGAGTCAAAGTCTCACTCTGTCACCTAGGCTGGAGTGCAGTGTTATTATCACAGCTCACCACAGCCTTGACCTCTGGGGCTCAGGCAATCCTTCCACTTCAACCTTCCAAGTAGATGGACTATGAGCATACACCACCACACCTGGATAATTTTTTGATTTTCTATAGAGACAAGATCTCGTTGTGTTGCCCAGGATGGTCTTGAACTCTTGGGCTCAAGCAGTCCTCCCACCTTGGCCTCTCAAAGTGTGGAATTGACAGATGTGAACTATCACATCCGGCCTTCAGGTTTTTTGTTTTTGTTTTGTGTTTTTTTTTTTAATTATCATACCCTTTCTCAAGAATTATTAACACTGTTAAACTTAACTAACAAAATAAATCTTAACAGCCCAGACTTTTTAAAAAAACAACTCTTTAAACACAGATTGCCAACATTGCCTTTCCTCCATAAATCTTCTCATTGGATGTGGCTTTTGCTCTGCTTACCGGCACTCATATGTGTGTCTGATCTCGCCTGATAGCTGGGTGTTGCAAATAAACTGAGACCGTGTCTTAGTCACATTTGTGTCTCGTGTACTGCTTTGTAATTGTCTGTACCTAATAAATGATTGGGGAGTGAAGATAACTTATTCTGTTTCTCTATGATATTTTAAAAAATACACATTTTGACCTTTGTTGATGAGTCAGAGCTGTCATCCTGAACATCAGTTTCAAAGACTTACTGAGAACATGCTATGAGAAGATGCTGTGCCAGGTGTCGACAGGTGTATACAGGTAGGTGTGGATGACAGATGCCCTGTTGGCGTGCCCTGATATGTTTGTCCTATGTGCCGTGTAATTAGAAACGATATCATGAAGGTAGTTTCAAAAAGTGTGAGTTGGCCCTAAGTCATGTTTTCAGAGGTATATTCTTTGATGGGAACTTTGGTGCTGCTTGGGTCCCATGTCGTGTGTGTGTGTGTGTGTGTGTGTGTGTGTGTGTGTGTGTACATGAGAGAGAGGGAGTGGGGAGAGACTACTTAAGTGAGAGATCATGCAAAACAAGCAAATCGGTTGCTTAAGGAACCGCTTTAAACATTTTTTGTTCTAATTCTAAACTGTCCTCTCAATAGGGTTTCTTTTTTTTTTTTGAGTTGGAGTCTCACTCTGTCACCCAGACTGGAATGCAGTGGCCGCTCCCGGCCACTGCAGCCTCGCCTGTTGGGCTCCGGCGATCCTTCCGCCTCAGCCTTCTGAGTAGCCGGAATTACAGGCATGCGCTACCACACCCGGCTGATTTTTTGATTTATTGTAGAGATGAGGTCTCGCTGCCCAGGCAGGTCTCGAACCCACGGGCTCAGGCAATCCACTCACCTCAGCCTCCCAAAGGCGCAGGATTACAGGCTGAGCCACCGAGCCCGGCTTTCAATGGGGTTTCTTAAATTTGATTAATATATGGTAGCAATTCACAGTATAAAGCTCTTTTGCAACCACGACCTCGTACCTGATGTTTTAATTGAAATGTCTGGAGTTTAAAAGCTGCATTTTAATAACACTAAAGAGTGTTATTGTGTTCTTTGGGGGCAGACTCAGGGCTAGGGAATTCCTCAGGTGGACAAAGCAGAAAGTTTTCTTGGAATTAGAGATCAGAAACACATTTCTAAGCTGAAGTATGAAACTTCTCTGGGGATTTTATAAGTTTTTTCTCTATGGCTACAAATGAGATATATTAAGTGCGTAGATTCTACCCGTTTTCAATACAGTGTTCTCTTTCAATGTCCAAAGGAAACGGATTCTTATGTAACAATTGTTATTTCGGTATCTTTTGATTGAGAAAGTACATGAGCAAAAAGTATTAAATTGTGTGACTTTGTGAAATGAATCGGTGCTTTAATAGTAAAAAACACGCACAGCCTTTGCAATGCAGGCTCCCATGTGCGTAATAACATAATTGAGTCTTGAGGTAGTGCCTGATGCACATACTGTTCCTAGCCCCTTGTATAACATGACGACTCACTCTGAGAACCTTCTAAGAACACGACCACCCATCAGCGCTCCTTGGCCCACAGGGGGGTAACTTCCGTCTCTAACCACTGCTACCAAAAGTCTGTGTCATTTGCCTGGAATGTATTCGTTGATACTTGAATTCAATAACTTGAGAGAGTAGTTTAGGTTTGGGTTTTGTGTTTTGAAGACTTGTCCAAGTATTGTGTGCACTGGAATGAAGAAAAAAGAAAAAGTAAACTTTTATTTGAATAGTTATTTTCATATGGCAATGCTTCATTTATCTGGTGTATCCAATTGTTTGTTTTCATTATCTGTAATATGTCAGCATTGGATATGTTGGTAGGCTCGGATCATTTTCAGCTGTACTGAGTGACTTCAGAGTGTGCCTCTGCCAGGTAGTCGTTATTCAAATCTCAGTTTTCTCTTTCTCTCAACACACTAATATTCTGACTTGCAGTTTCAATTTGGATCAGGACCACCGCTGAAATGGGGCCACCACCACCACCAGCAGAAGCTCCCGTGACCTGTCCATCCTCATCCTCTGACCCAGACAGAGGTGTTTCAGGGCTGAAAATGATGAGTCCTTGTTCTTGAATGGAAGATAATTATCACATTGTCTTCCATTAATGTGATAATTTCGTTGCAATGAAAACATACCAAATTTCAGAGATTCAGGTCTTATAACCAGGAAGAAAAACCAAAAAGCATTCAACCCACCTGTGTCCCTCTTTAGGCGAGAAGAAACAAGATTTCTAAGTAGCGACGTATATTTAATTGTGGATTTTTGTATCTACTTCATTTGAGCATTATAAATTTTAGCATAGTAATGATTGCTTTTGTTTATTTTGTTGTAAAAATGGTAATACTAACATGCCTAATAACTAACTCACTATGAAAAATCCGAAGCTCAGTAGAGACGCAACTATCCGCTCTTTTTAAAGTATTTTTTATCTATAGGTGGTTGAACCCACCAATGTAGAACCCATGGATGTGAAGGGCTGACTGTACGTATTTAGAATCATATTTAGAGGACCCATGGAGATAGCACAGCTCTGCTTAAATATTTGAAAGGTTACTCCCATCAAACATTTTTCTGTGGCTTTCCTAGATTAGAAGTAGTCCCAAGGAGTTCATTTCTGGTCACTAGGGAAAAGAGCTTCCAGCAGGTGGAATGGGATGGTTCAGGAGAAGAGTCTTCAGTCCCAGTGGGGTGGCCACGTCGGGGGCTGTGATGAAGGGACAGCAAGGACCCCATGGGCGAGTGGAGTAGATGGCCCCTAGAGCCACCTTCAAACGGGAGCATCTCTGAAACATTAGAGGATGATGAACACCTAACACAGACTGTGCCTGAGTGCTGCTCTAATATTTCTTCCAAGTTGCTCTCTCAAAACCCATTGCACAGTGTCCCCTGCAACCCCTGGACCCTTGTTAATTCCTTAAGAGGTGTACGTTCAAAATCGTGCTGGATTCCGACGCTGCGGAGTACGGAGGCCACCAGAGGCTGGACCACAGCACGGATTTCTTCTCTGAGGCTTTCGAACATAATGGGCGTCCCCATTCTCTTTTGGTAAGTAAGGTTCACAAGATGGTTTTATCCTGAGTTTAATCTTTTATTTTTGAAGTGATGCTTCTGTTCAAGGAAACAGCTCTTCAGATAAGCAACATGGAGGAAAAGAGAAGTAGGGAAAGGGTCCGCACTTGAAAACCAGACGTGCTGTGTGGTGCCGGACCAAACTGGCTTTGGAAAAACTAGCCGTAAAGAATATTTAGAGAAGAATTGCATGCATTTGAATATTAATGGGATTCAAAATTGTTTCCCAAGAAATGAGAGGAAGGCAATTTTTTTTTGCTTTTCTTTCTATTATAAACATGTCTTTATACAACAATTCACTTCCCATTGGTTCTTGCTTTCTCTGTAATATTTTACATGAAGCAGATTTCTACATTATTGACTATTTAGTGAAGTTTAATTTAAAACACCTTAAAGGTGTCAATGAAAGATATGTCTTTTTATGTAGTGAATTAAAAACTGAATTCATTCTAGTTATAAAATTCTCTGATTTTCTTATGTGACTGAGGAAAACATTATGTAACTAATTTTTGCATTGTGTTGGCACAAATGATAGAATGTTGCTACAAACTACTAAATTTAAATCCTTTCGAAGATGTCGAACTTAGCAACTCCCTAGATTTAGAGAAATTCTTTATTTATACTTTTGGCCATATAGTGGGCTCAAGGTCACACCTGCATTCTGTCATCTTTTTGTAACCCCTTTTCCTGACTGGTCATATGCCTCCTCTCTCCCCGTCTGAGACCTGCATTTCTTTTTTTTACCATGGGAGGCACTGGATTTAAATATGTTTCACCTTCCTGATGCCAGGAGTTATCCAACAAAGGTGTGGCTTTACCGTGACTGTTAAGGTTCTGATTTCAATACATTCTCTCAATTTTTAAAGGTTTAGGTATGGGTCAGGCATGAGAATCTGGGTGGTACCTCTGGGTCTCTGTTTTTCTTCTATTTCCCCACCTCTGACAGTGATGCCAGCCCTTGACTTTATAGCCTGCGGTATCATACACAGAGCCAGTGTGCCAACAACCATGGTATGAAATCAACAAAATGAGCAGGATGACAGGGACAGGTTGTTGAATTACAGGCCGTGAGGAGATTGCCATGGCCACAGGAGACTTGGGTGTGCCTGTGTTTGTTTGTGGGTGGGTGTGTGCTGATGGTATTGACATAGCTTTAGACACATTTGGATAGAGACCTTTGTATCTTCCCAAGAGGGCTCAAAGTTGCTGTCAGATTCTTTCTTCACAGCATTATTACTGTAGTCTATCTGAACATTCCATTCTGACATGTAGGATAAGACTTTCAGAAGTCAGAAGATTACCTTAAAGGTCTGAAATGACCAAAAGTGTCAAAGAACCCTGGGGGTTCAGGTAAGATCATTCAGCCCACCGGAGGAGTCAGAGAGAGGCAGTAACTGACCGGTGAAACGGGACTGTAATCGGCTGAGCTAGACTGAGAGGGGTTTGTAAGATGTAGACAGCAACATTCCTATGTGGCCAAATCTCCTGAATGCCTGTGCATCCCAGCAGGGTTCTGTCATGGTATTGTAAAAAGATCTCAAAATGTTGTGACAGAAGACCTGGGATCACACACCTAGGCTGCCATTTATGGGCTAGGAAAACTGGAGATAGTTACTTTTCTTGCCCCTCAGTTTTCCTTATCTGTAAAAGAAGGATTAATAGTAATATCTAGGCCGGGTACAGTGGCTCACACCTGTAATCTCAGCACTTTGGGAGACCTGGGCAGAGCCCAGGAGTTCAAGGCCAGACTAGGCAACATAGCAAGACCTCGTCTGTACAAAAGAAAATCGAAAAATTAGTTGGGCATGGTGGCACATGCTTCTAGTCCTAGCTACTCGGGAGGCTGAGAGGTGAGGATCACTAGAGGCCAGGAAGCCGAGACTGCAGTGAGCCGTGACCATGCCACTGCACTCCAGCCAGGGCCACAGAGTGAGACTTTGACTGAATAATAATGATAATGTTAGCAATCATTATAATATCTTCCCTACGGCATGAGGTTCTTAGGCATCATAAGCTCATTAACATAGCCAAGCATTTCAGAAACTGCAAAATGCTATTGCACATGTGTTTTAAAGCTATCATTGTCATGGCTAGTCAATGATTATTTAGTATTTTAAACATGTCACACACGTTTAAGAATACCCTCTCCCAACCTTGGGGAAATTATAGTCTTAAGTGAGGGCTCATCATTTTGGGGGTGGGTAGAAAATATCTTGGCAGCCTTTCGGTTTTATAAGAGCAGAGATATTCTGTCACAATTAAAACAAGTCAATGAACCAGTGGCAGCAGCAGTCAGGAGATTACTTTTCAAGCCCTAATTGAATCGATCTCGCAAATATGGAACATGCAGTTCTAAATTAGCAGGGAGAATGAAGAGTATCTCATAAGTCTCAGTAATACATAGAGGATTCAGCACTGCAAGGGTATGAGACAGGAAAGAGCCCAGCCACTGCCTTAAATGGAATTCCAGTCCAACTTGGTCAGGGAGAAGACGGCTAGGCCTTTATTCTGGCAGCTGTGTCTTGTTTTCAATGACAGGTGCTTCAGCAATGACTCATGTAAGTCAGTCCTTAGGTTCCAGGTGAAATGATCACCGGTCTTAATGTCAGAACCAGGGGGCCTAAGTGGACCAGTAAAATACAGAAAATCCAAGAAAACAGGTGACCTTCTCGCCAGATGTATTCTGTGAAGAGCCAGTGGGAAGGAAAAAAAATCACATGAATAATTGTTCCTGTGATAAGAATGCCTCATTGCAGTAGAATTCTCTATCAGACTGCATCCTGTCTCCTGGGACCCAGTCCAGCTTGTCTGAACAGGACCTTAAGCTAGTTGGGTCTCGTTCCACTCCGGGGAGACCACTCCCGCCTCCCGGACTCCTGGAATGAAGGGAGGGCCAGATAGAACTCTACCTCTTCCGTGAAATTTCTGCCCGTCACCACTAGGACACAGCATTTACTAAAGCTTAATTTGCAAGCTCAGTAATCCAAAGGCTCTGCTGAATGAGTGACAAGTCTGTTTTCAAAGATAGCAACAAACAGAGCGGGAAGGAATCTTAAAATAGCCACATGTGCCACAGCCTTAGCGGGTAGCGCCAGCACCAGGTCCGAGCTGGGCAGTGGAGACTGGAGGCCAGGGGACAGCTGCCTGTGGGCACCGTGGAGGCCTGTCTGCTTGGGCCAGGGGATTTCACACGTGCTGGCAGCCATAGGGCAGCACTCCCCAGTCTGCGTTTACTGGCAGTTGCTGGAAACCGCATTTAGCCTCATCAGGTCTCTAGATTTTGGCCCCTGATACAGGAACTTCTGTATTTGCCTGCATGTCCCTGGGTGTGCTGGAGGCAGGGACCTTCCTCTCTCTCCTCGGGCTCGTAAATGCTAACTCCATGGCACAGATGAGAGAAGACAGATGGTGGTGCCCTGGATGATGAGGCGATGCGATTCCTCCACCATGGCAGAAACGGTGTCAGCGATGAAGATGGGGAGAAAGCGGTAATGGCATTGCCAGTGAGGTCACTCTCCAATAAGCAGTGGATCTGTTTACACCCCTGCTGAGGGTTGAAGGGCATGAGGAGATTTTCAGTTTACAGGCTGGACATCGATGTGCCTTTTTTATCGTCCCTCAGTCGTACGTGTTCGAAATGCAGCTTGAAAGTTGGAAGATGTCTTTTGCTCTTACCAAAATCAAGAAAACGTTTCATCTTTTCAGACCAAAAAGTCCTCGATTCTTAAAGCTTACTTTGTATAAGGTTTCTAAATTAGATGAGGTTGTATACATTTCTATGTTGAAATATTTATCAGCATCACATTTCTTCTAGCCCTCATACAAAATAATGAGAGTAGAATAAGATTTATTTTTCCTTAGAAAATAGCTTATGAACCTAAAGCATGTATGTCACCTTTTATTTTTCAAAATAATTTATAAATTTTATTATGGAAAAAAAAGCATGTGTATGAAGACTGTGAAAGAATTGGATGCCTTTTTCATTGAAAGGTGTTTTCATCCTACTAGATTATATCTTCAAGTGCTATTTCTAACTTAACAATGTCTAAGGAAACTTTTAAACTTAGCCTTTAAAATATGAAGCCATTTTGAAGTGTTATAATGTTTCTCAAATGTTTTCAAACATTTTGTAACTTATTCAATTATAATCCTAGAAGAAAGTAACTCTTTGCTCAGATGACATAACAGAATAGACCATTGTGTGATCAATTAATTTTTTAGTCCTACTAATGATTAATACAGTAATTTAGTCATTAGTCAAAATCACTGGGTGGATTAGCATGCATTTGAGTCTCTGAATGCATGAATTGGAACACACTATGCTATTATGATTCCTTGTGAAGATTTGACTATGATTATAGCTAGAAAAAATGAAACTCATGGTCGTACATTACATGCTATCTTAGCTACAAAATGTTTATCACTATAAAATGTTTATAGCTTAAAGGCTAATATATGGGCTTAGTAGATATGTTTACCAGCATGCATTTGATATGTAGCATGCATAATAAGTGGTTTCCATATACATGTATGTACATATAAATTGTTTATAGTTAAATAGACTTAAATATTTGTGTTTAAATCTACTTAAATATGTTTATGTTTCCTTTTTCTTGCTATGAATCAAAACTATTTTCTGAATTAAAATGATAAAATGAGAATTACAGAGCCAATACTTAGCACATTTTAGGGACCCCAAATTGTTCATGTCTGTGATTGTCTCATCATGAGGGTGAGCTGTGATTATCTTAAGTCCTTTCGTATAATTGGTAGTCATTTCCTAACCACTAGGAAAATTGATTTACATACTCAGAGCCCTTATAAAGGAGAAAACTCAAACTTCCATAAATAGCCATAGTTAAGAAAAATCACTTGCTCAGGGGAAATTATTTCGTTTTGCCTATACCACAAGAGCTCTGGTGCAACGTACACACACTCTGGTAATTAACACTGCAGTAAAAAATATAATTATACAATAGTCCTGTTAATGATATTATACAATTACCAACTGAAGCCTTTGAGCAGATAGTAATAAGAGGTCTCTAAGTGTGACTAGAATTGTCCTCGTAAAGCTCCTTACATAAAAAGACCACCATCATCTGGTGAGAGTTCTTGCAGGCTCTTTTAAACCATTAAATGCTGACATAGGAGATTCAACACACCTGTTGTAAACCTTCAACTTCTCATGGCATCCTGTTTTAACTCTTCAATTTAGACTAGATAAAATACTCTTCAATTTAGGCTAGATAAATAAAATAAAAGATCAAAGTGAGTAAGACTGTTCGTAAATTATCCGCATCAGTTGTTATTTATGAAATCATGATAAGGTTATGAGCCAGACAGAGGTGATCCCACAATGACAGAAAGTCCAGAAGGGAGATTGACTTGATCTGTCCAGAGCAATCACTGTAACACACACTGAGAGGGACCTGGCAGGATTTGTTCTGGGTGAGATGGATGTGTTTCATTGCACCTTTCTCAGGAGCCTTGGGCTTATCAGAGTCTTTCATATCATATCAGGGAAACCAGTGAACTATTCTACTTATAACCCACTGTCAACTGATTAGTCAAATCTAGTTACTGGGATCCCCAAAACAAAATTCGTAGACTAGACCCCTTAATAAGCTCATGGAAACTCCTTTGGAAGGGCAGGTCATTGTCTTGGTTGGTGCCTTGGGGAAGGAATGGGCTGAATCAGACTGTTGGTTCCTTTTACATCTCCTTTGCTTTGTTCTATGTTCCCTTTGTCTGTAGCCTGAGTCTGGAAAGAATCCATCCTTTAGACTGGATCTGTCTGGATCTTTGATAACAGTTCTGCTTTAGTTATGGATATCTCCAACTTGCTTTTGTTGAACCAATCTCATGACATCTTATAGTCAAGGAGAAAACATTGCGTAGAAGGGGTTACATTAGTAGTTAAATTAATCGTGTTTTAAAAGTTATAAGACACTAGACATGATGTGAAATTATAGGGAAACAGTTTGTGGCATGGACATATGTGGTTTTCCACACTTAATGACTGTAAGGATGTACTATTTATCTTTTTGGAAATACTGGATTCAGATCAGACCATGAGACACTGAGTTACATGGTGACTGTTAGCATTTGTGAAGGTGTTTTTCTCAGACGATTATTATTTTCCTAAACCACTATTTTAACTGAAGATTAGAAAAACTGCTCTCTAGCCATAACATCCAGAATATAAATTTCTTTAAATGTCATTATTTTAAAATGGCTTTAATCTTTGAGGGGTAAAACTAAACAACTGTATTGGCGTGTCTGATTTTGTTAAGAGTTGTAAGAGTTCTGTATTGCATTAACCTTAAGGGAAAACAGTGTGGTCAATTGCAGAGTTGAGATGCATTGGACATACAAGTCTCATTCAATGAAAATCAACTGTCCTTTTATTTTCATTTTTTCCCCACAGCCATGTTTGCACCTTTCATTCTGGTTCTAAACTCAAAAAGCCTTTTTCTTTTCTTAACCATTAGGCAAACTTTCACTCAGAGAGAAAGTGACTGAACACTCATAGTGAAATATCACTGAAGTCAGAAGTGAAGAGAGATTATCACAGTGATGACAGCAATCTCTAATATTATTTTTACTGTTTGTTCTGTTAATAGTTTTTTTTAAAAACGAAGTTCAAATTGGTTCCCAATTTTATAAAAATAGTTTCAGATGCAAGCATGCTAGAGAATATCTTGTTTTAAATATACATATTGATCCACAATGACTTCTCTGTTCATTCCTTCATTCAGTCACCATTGACAGCCGTCTGTTCAGTGGCATCTACTACGAGTTAGATATGAAGGACAGAGACCCTCTGCCCTCGGAAAGCTCATAGACTAGTGGGGAGGATAGATGGCAAGCTTGACAAAAAACCCACAAATTGTGTGAAGTGTTCGGAAAGACACAAGGAAGCCGCTGTGATTGGAAGTGGAGACCTGTCACCTCCGGGGTTGTCGGGGAAAGACTCCCAGAGAGCTGGGGTTTTGCTAGAGAGATAAGGAGTGGCGAGAGCAGAAAGCACCTCACGGGCAAAGGTGCCGAGGAAGGGAGAGTGTGGCGTGTTGCAGGAGCTGATAGTCTGTGTCCGAGCCTGGTGGACGGAACACGTGGGGAGCCCTGAGCTGAGACGGCAGACTGGAGGCCGGCAGCCCCGTCAGGACCCAGAGGCCCTGGAAACATTGCGTAGAAGGGGTTACATTAGTAGGTAAATTAATCGTGTTTTAAACGTTATAAGACACTAGATGCGATGTGAAATTATAGGGAAATAGCTTGTGGCACGGACATACATGGTTTTCCACACGTAATGACTGTAAAGATGTACTATTCATTTTTGGAAATACTGGATTCAGATCAGACCATGAGACACTGAGTTACATGGTGAGAAGCGTCCTCTCTTTAAGGGCAGTAGCAAGTGTTTTCATTAGTTTAAACTGAGGAGGGGCCCCAAATACTCGTAGGAGACCTCATACCACCTTTCCGTCTTTGTTCTTAAAGCGACAGGAGGCACAGTCTTGCTGAAAGCAGAGCTTTGTGGATTGCTCTTCATCTACCTTCCTTGCTCATGTGCTAGTGCCTCAGGTGGCCTAGGAGGGCCAGGGAGGTCACTGAGGCCACGGCTGTGGCTTTGGGACTTGCCTGGCGCCTCTGGGGGCGGCTGCCAGAAGAGACCCTTCTGGTGCCACCGGAACCCTGGGCAGGTGGAGTGCAGCCCTCTCAGAGCCCAGAGCCATAGGCTAGCCCTCGCATCAGCCTGTGTTGCTTGGACATGATGGCAGCGGGTTCGGTGTTCTTCCCCTGTGCACTGACCTGAATGTGTTGACCTAGGTGTACATTCCGAGCCGAGTGGCCCTCATCCTGCAAAACGTGGATCCGCCCAACTGAAGACGCCTGGCCTCCGCCCCGCAGATTGGACGTGTGTGTGGTGTCCCGGCTATCACTGTCGCACAGCTTGTAGTGTGTAAGCTTTGCAAAATGCAGCTGTCTAGCCACAGCGTCAGATGTTTGAAATTCACTGTTGACATATGCAAGCATATCAGACTTTTCTTTAAGATGGGGGAGCATGTTTAAAATGTTGGGGATTCTAGACCGTGTTTGCAAGTCACCTGAGCAGCTGGGATTCTCAAATGGAAGTGTCAATGTACAAGGGGGACCCGAGAAAAACCAGAATTATTTTTTGGATAGTGGGCCCAGGCTTCCCCTGCTAGGTGAGTGTTCTAGGAACCCATCGGCATCAGCGTGCCAGCTAGCATTTTTGCAGTAGGCTACGTTTGGCTTCAGTGATTTTTTGTTTTGTTTTTGAGATTCTTTCAACGCATTTGCCCATTTCAGGATGGGTGAATTATGGGTGTACCTGCCCACACGATGGTGAGTGTTCAGCAGTTTTTGAACAAAAACAGCATGACCCCATACCCTCTCTCTTCAGCCTGTCTCACCCCCAGCCATTTTTGTTTGTTTGCTTCCCTGGATGAAATAAGTCCCCAGGGGGAAATGTTTTGCCATTGTGGAAGAGGTGGGAAAAAAAAAAAAGAAAAGAAATGGCAGAAACACTAAAAGGCATCAAAATTGACAAGTTCAAAAACTGTTTTGAGCAGTAGAAAAAGCATCTCGATGGGGGTTTACATCAAGCAGAGAGGACTTTGAAAGTGACTAAAGTTTAAACATGTAATAACAAATACATAATTTTTATAAATACCAAGTTTTGGAGGGTCCCCCTCATGTCTCTAAAACATTTTACTTTCTTGGTTAATTATTTGGGTTTTTTTAAATTCAAACTTGCATCACTTTCCATGTTTAAGCTGTTCTGTTAAATGTATACAGTATTTTTTTAAATGGATATTTGGTGGCCTTATTTGTTCGAATACTGTTTAGTCTGATTTATGAGGTACCGAGATGGTCTCTGTTTCTTCAATTGTGTTTAGAAATACTGTAATAAATATATAGTAGTAATATAAAAGTAAGAATGGTATCAAAGATAATATAAAAGCCGTCACTCACCCAACGCCTCGTTTCTCATACATTTATTTTATCTTGTGATGTCTTGTTCACTTAGTGTCTTGGGTGGGTGCTGATAGCTCAGTCTTTCTGAAGGCCTGAAATGGCAATTGATTGTAGCATTTCAGAAAATGTCTTTCATTTCAATCAATAAAAAAAAGTTTGCTAATTTTTTTTTTTTTTACTGTATTATTACAGAGATCAATTTGGAACGAATATTAACTTGCACATTCAATTCTGATACTTTCTCCACGTATATTCACATGAGCTTGAGGGACTAGGAGACACGGAGATTCACCATTTTTCTTTAGGTACCATTTTTGTAGCTTGAAACTACACTAACCAAGGCAGATATCTAAGCTACTCTTGCGCTGTGAGCTTGAACACTCTGAAAGGATTAACTAAGGATCTCAGTTCAGTGGGAAGCCGCCTCACGAATTTGCCTCTTGGTTAATTAAATAGTGGGCCACAGGTCTAAAATCAGTGATATGCAATTTATTCATAACAGAGGAATTATGATGCACTTATGAGACAGAAAGTATCTGGCACCTTTTTAAAGACCTAATTTTTTCCTTTATATTAATACTGACTGTGTTTTTGATGTTAGTCTGATTATTCATGATCACTTAGAAGTACTTGGAAGTCTTCCATTAAAAGCTCACTCACTAATGCGAGAGATGAGCTCAGAGACTTACTTTTATAGCTATATCTATGCTGTATATTAAGCACCGTTCTTAAATTTTTTTGAGTGAAACCCTGTGTCTAGGTCTGAAATGTGTTATTTAACTTCTAAATAGAGCGGTAATGTGATTTTTTTGAAAGAAGCAGCAGTGTCTACTGAGGATGATGCTTGCTGGGAAAAATTCCTGACAACCGTGTGGGGTGGGTTCCCATTCCACGAACTCTATCATATCTCAGAACGGCCAGGATCAGTATGTTACACTTGTCATTGATCACACAGCATGCACCCATGATGGGTCACGATCTAGTTTATTATTCTTTAACCTCGCATATGTTATGTAGGAAGAGACATGCTATTTCTGTACCAGGGATAATTTTTTAAATTACAAGAAGTTACTTTATACCTAGAACCCATGCACTTTTCTTTTTTGGGGGGGGGTAGTTAAAATGTAATATTTTATTTAATTGCTCAAATTGTTCCAGCTTTGGCCTCCTGAGATGCTTATATATTACATTGCCCCAGTCTTTGAATTATCCATTTCTCCACAGAGCACTGACTTCTTTATATTGAAGTATGATATCAGAAACCTAGATCTTGGCCCTAGATGGTTTTTTTTCCTACCGGGGTATCATTGCTTCTCTGCCCTCTCAGCTGACAGGACAAGAAAATATATGTATATCATGCTCTTTTCATTTTTACCTCTGTGACAACATTTAAAAGACCGGCGTCCATGTTGTGGTATATTTTCACTATACTGATTGACTTTGCTAACGTGTTCTTTAGGTTTTGCAGTTTGAGGTTAGAATTTAACAAGGGAATGAAAGTAAATTGCTCTTGTTCAGGATTTCCTCCCCCCGGAAAAGCAGTAAATGCATGATGCTTGGTGGGAATTATAAACACACATGCAATCAAGTAAAATGTTAAGAGTCCAAAGTGGAATGTTTTGTCGTTGTCGCTGTTGTTTTCTACCTATCCCCCATAGACAGACTTTACAGAACATTCTGGGACTCTGTTTCACTGGCGGACTTTTCATGTTAGTACCAGTGTCATCCTCATTGCTACGTCATCTTACAGGAAGTCCTTTATTGGCTGATTGTTTTCACAGTCACAACAGAGAGGTACAAAACCTTCCCCTTTGCATTTCATGTTAATACTTTTTCTCTGATGTGTTTGTTGCCAACGTCAGAAATGAGAGTGGCCCGTCTTTATTGACTTTTTAGAATAAATATTCTTGCTGTTGTGATTTTTTCATGTTTTAGAAAATACACATGACTGCAGATTTCCTTGTGTCATCTAATATGAGCAAGTGGGTGCTCGTCTTTTCTCTATTAGCCAAAAAACAGGATTTATCTCTAACGCTAGTGATGCTTGATGCTTGAATATTACTCTATTCAGAAAATCCCACCGTTGATAATAACCAAAAATCGAATTGTAAGCGTTTATCCTGGAATTTTCCCACTCCACACCCCCAGACTCTGAGGGGCAACTCCTCTCCTGTCTCCATTTCTATGAATTGTATGTTTCTCACTTTGCTCTGTTCCTAGCTGATGTATTTAATCATCTCTAACAGAAAATGAGGGATTTGGCCCCAATGTTCCTCAAGTTCAAAAAGGAACCAGAGACAATAAATGGACATTTCTTATGGCAACTATAAGAGAATGTGAGTGTTTTTTTCTCTGACTCAGGCAGTGTCTGTCTAGCGTTTGTCAACATTGGGGTGACAGCCATCGCTGTGTGGGATCGTGCAGGGGTCTGTCCGAGGGAGAAGCCTGTTCTTCCCCTAATGCAGAAGAGAGCACAGACAGGTTTGGGAGGTGCTAAAGAGTAAAGTGTTTCCCTCTCAAGTCTAGCTTTCCGCTTCAGGGCAGATATCTTTCCACTGTCTCTGGTTCCGCAGCCATTGAGTCTGGAGATAAAAGCCACACCCAGTGGCAGCCCTGTCCCTCATTTAGAATGAACTGGAGCAGACACACCCCATGGAATCCAAGACAGCGAAGCAACTTTCTGGCTGACCTTGTGCCTCTCTGGCTATTTCTTTCTGCCGCTCTGAGCCGTGCCCTGAGCTTGGGCCCTTTGGAGTGGTGGGTTCCATCTGCCTGTCTCTTCCTTATAACGGGATGAGCATTCAGCTCTGGACTTTGCTGGGTAGAATATTCTGATGAAAGAAAACAGTATAGCAATGTCATGTCCTTTATGCGGTGGAGTTCATTTATCATTCACAAAGTGTTAGAATAGAAATGTAGATAAATTTTCTCACTAAAGCCAGCCTTCAGGGGGAAAGAAAATCAAATGAACTCCCTACTAATTTTTCTGCTCTATTATCTTATTAATGGTGATTTGTAGAGAATTGCAGAGAAACATTCAGACTTTAGGGCAGAATTTCTTAATTGGTAGTGTGAGGAATTACGACACAGTAGTTGTGCGTGTTTTTGTCTCTATAATTTAAAATGTTACATCTGGATTTTCACTCTTGGCGAAAGCCGTGCAGAGAAAGCAATGTTTGTGTATGTGGGAAAAAAATGTATTGGGAGATAGATTTGCCTTTGCTAAAGGGCATGCTATTCAGACATTTATTTATGACCCGCAATTTTTCTTGTCATTTCTGCTGGGACAGAGAGAGATGTTTGACCCTCCTCTGTGCTGTGTAGACCATTTTACCCAGAAGTCTGCATTTTACAAGAATAGCATGCTCTAGTGCTCAGGACACCTGGTTTCCAGTCCCAGCTCTTCCCTCCCTGTGCCTCATTTTAGAAAACTCTGGGTGACTGTTCCTCCCCAGGGATCCCAGGAAATTCCAGTGAAGGATGGGGGAAGGGAGCATGGCCCTCGGTTCTATAAATGCTGTTCCTTGCTCAGTCGCTACTTGGATGGGGAGTCGGCCACTGGAGATGGCGACATCATCCAAATGTGTTGTCAGGGACACGCTGTCACCACCAGCTGTCTGTCCCTTGGGGTTTCAGCATCTCCCAGGCAGGGAGGTGTGAGCTGCTTTGCAGAGAAGGAGGCTTGCCCCCACAGGGGGAGCTCCGCCCTGCCAGTCCCCCTCTGATGCTCGTGGATGTTCAGTGAACTCCTCTCTCCGTGGCCTGCGTGGTGCTCCTCCGTGCTTCAACCTCTCTCTTGTCCTGCACGTGTATGACCCAGCCTGGTGAACGGCAGCAGGCGGCCTCTTGATGGTACCCAGTAGGGCAGTGTGAACCCTGCGTGCCAAGCGACACAGTCGCAAAGGCCCGCGTGGCAGTCCGCGTGGAAGTCTCCGGTCCTTCCCCTCGTCCCATCTGTGCACAGTCTTCGATAGATCATGGCAGAAGGAGTCAATGACAGGAGACTGCAGGATTGCAAAAGAAGCTCACCCTTACAGCTGGTCAGGCTCACTCATAAGCAGACCCTGTACATTTGTCATAATACCGTATAAGCAAGGCATTGGCAGTAGCAGGACGCTGCTGGTGGTTGGGAGGCCCATAGCATCAATAAGGGCACCTGATCTCAACCCAGGTGAGGTGGGGACCAAGCTTCACCTGTTCGATGACCACTTATAAACCTAATCCTGAATCATACCCCATATCTTTAAAAAGTAAAGGCTGGGCTCGGTGGCTCAACCTGTAATCCCAGCACTTTGAGAGGCCAAGGTAAGTAGATTGCCTGAGCCAGCAGGTTCGAGAACAACCCAGGCTAGTTGGCGAGACCTCATCTCGACGATAATCAAAAATTAGCCTGATGTGGTAGTGCGTGCCTGTAGTTCCGGCTACTTGGAAGGCTGAGGCGGAAGGATCGCCGGAGCCCAGCAGGTCGACACTGGGGTGGCCGTGAATGTGCCACTGCGCTCCAGCCTGGGCAACAG